AGATTTATTCAGGTTGTAGAAGAAACCTATAACAAAATAAAAGACTATAATACAAATAACAAAGAGAAATATTATACAATAGAAAATTCATGAATTACATATTTCATAATTACAATAATTACAATATATACATTATAAACATTTCACAATTACAATTAAAATAAATACATACATACCAGGCTTTAAATAGATGAGATCTTCAAAATAATAATTGTATGAATAATGATAAACTATCAATATTTCTATAAAGAAATAATATATCTTTAGAATGTCAGAGATGTTATTGCCTTGAATGCAATGAAAGGAGTGGTCAGTTACCAAGAAATATTAGCTATCCCAGAACCAAATCATCTAAAAATAACTTGCATACCAAAACCAATCATCCATCACTAAACTTGCAAAACCAGTTCAATCACTCATAACAAAAGGTACAAAGACAAACATGAACACATAACACCACAATAGATTTGGTTTGGCCTTTAAGGGAAATAACTACCGTATTTATTATAAAAAGTGAACTTGGCTTAATTTAACCTTATCTACACATGTTTGCTGATGATACTACAATTACCTCATTTGGACACAGTATCAGTTCAATTTGTACAAAACTTCAGTCTGACCTTAATTCCATATAACAGTGGGGCAACAGAAATCCAATCGAACTGTATAAAGTGATGTAAAAGATTGTATAAAATGATGTAAAAGACATGACAAGATATGACATGTCACTAACTATGGGATAAACACATCAGATCATTATCATTCATTCAATATTTAATTATAGAAATTATTGTAACATGATATAACACATAACTTTAGTTCTGTTGATTTATAGATGTACAGATCTATGTGTTATTATTTTCATAATATAAATAAGATGTTTAATATTTAGATATACAAAATTTATTTTTATTTTTCATTTTTTTATCACTTAACATAAAATGTGAAGGTGAAGTATAATTCTTCAATGCTCAATTTTAGAATTTATGTGATATAAAGTATAATTATTTTTATTGATGTATTCTTACACAGCAATAGAATTTTACAAAAAATAAAGAAGATGTAATATTGATTGTGATTTTGTGAACATTTAAGTTATTGCACTAAATATATATGACTAAAGAAATGACTGAAAAGATTCAGAACACATCATTGCAGATCTAAATTAAATATTACATATCAAGTTTTGTACATAATCATCATGAAAATGTCAATAAAATAATCTGATAATTGTTATTTTGTATAGCATATTGTTTGTTTATAGTCATCATTTCATGTTACAAACACAAAAAAATGATTGAATTTCATGAAAAATATTGCCTACTAACTTATTTTTCAATTAAAAAACCAAAAGCACCACAAATGCTACACAAGTAAAAGTGGTTCATGTTTGTAGGCATTATTTACTAAATGTTACTGACTAAAAGGTTACCAAATTGAGATGTTTCATCAAAATAATAATATATAGAAATTTAACCCATCACCTGCTGAATTTGGCCTCCAAACTAATTTTGGAAATATTTAGAAGAAAATTTGAAGTTAATCAACCAATAGTACAGGCTCTAAATGGGCAGGTAGACCTGACTCTTTACCGGTGGCAAAGACTAATCACTTTTCTTTCCTTCAGGTTAAGGGTATATCATACAAAAAGTACAAAGTGCTACAAACGTTAAAAGAGCATCTACTCAGCACGGATTTTGTACAATATAAAATACATATATAGAGCACACCACCTTGTTGCCGCCGAGTTTGAAGAAAATGCTTAAAAGGGTATAGGACCTAAATAGTAACACAAAATAGTCTGATGTTTGACCTTCAAGGGTGACATTGACCTTAAGCTGCACAGCAGTGGCATGGGTTCTGCACATCCCTATTTTGAGGTGAGCAATTGAGTTTAGATTTAAACAAAATTCTTTAAAGGGTTGTATGATATTTGATATTTGACCTTCAAGGGTGTCTTTGAGCCATCACATCTATGGCATGGGTTCTGCATGGGTTCTGCAAAGTGTCTTGTTCTGGTGAAAATTATGCCAAGTTTGGAGACAATCCTTCAAGGGGTAAAGGACTACAATAATGGACAAAAAAATGTCTGAAAATATTTAGACTCTTGGCCTTCAAAGGTAACCTTGACCTTAAGCTGGCACAGCCTTGGTATGGGTTCAGGCTGCACTTTGTAAAGATGATCGTTTTCGACAAGTTTGAAGAAAATCTTTCAAGAGGTATAGGATTTTATAAACCAAACACAATGCTGGCAGATGGATGGGCTGACTGTCGAAAGGGAATCCAGTACATATAGTCCCCTCCGCATTATGTGATGGGGGGTAAGAACAGACATTTTTATGAAAGTTTTAATTGAAGTATCTGTCTACAATAATGGTGTAAAGTGTTTAGCAACATAACATTTTTTAAATCAACCGATGAACATTTATTTTCAGAGTATCATAATGGACAATAAATATCAAAACTATTCCTAAATGGTTAGAGTATTATGAAAGCTGGCGTCATAACCAGGGGTTTTGCATATCATATCAACCGATCAATGTGATAAACATATCACCAAATTATCGTGAATATTTTGTCATATACATTTATAAATATTTGTCCAAAAATTATACTGGACAAAATATCTTAAGATATCTCTATTTTTGATTAATAATCAAGACAAGCTAATCTAACCTAAATACAGTTACAAAACATGTCACAAATTTAGACCATAATATTTCTAAAACGCTACCCTTTGAGTTTGTGAAGAATTAAGGACATTTATATTGTATTTTGAGTTTCAGTTTAGCAAAGTTATTACTAACAACTTATTTCTGTTCCAGTGTATACATATGAGAATGTACATACTAAAAATATAACCTAACTAAAAGTTTTTTTTATTTCAAAGCACAAACAGTAAACTTTACAATATTTGAAGATAACTATTTTGTGTCGCTCATGTTTAGAAATAGTGGACACGTTGCCGAAAAGATTTATCAGACAACTAGATGGCCGTATTTAGCAATAAAACATCTTTATGTACACAATTATTTCATCTTAGGTAGAATAATTTTTGGGTTACTGAATTTTACGGTCTATACACTTCAGGAATGTAATAAAGTTTACATACTTGTGGATAGAACAGTGAAAATAAATTTGAGTATTTACAATTTATATTCAAGCAGGATATTACCACTGGTGAGGTATTTTATTTAAAAGTCAAGTCATTTATCTTTAACAATTTAAATAAATTCATCATTAAGATAACTATATACAATGTAAATATTTATGAACATTAAAACTGTGTTGAACTGCAATAACCTTGAAAATACAAAATGTATTTTTGCTTATACCCCACCCGGATTCCTCCCACTTTTAATGGTTCATGCTTCATTTCTTTTAAGAAAGGTCAGGATGGAGGTGAAAACTACTAAAGTCACAGCTCCCTAAGAGTTAAAAATCCTGAAATCTTTCAACTTATTGCAACTCAGAAGAAGTACTCAAGGTTGAACTTAATTGTAAAATCTGAATAAAAAACTTGCAGCTAACATTTAAATAAACATGCACAGTTAACACAAATTCACTGCTGCACATATATTATGTATATTTATGCTATTAATCTATTCCAGATTAATAATGGATGTCCCCGGTAAAAAGGCATCTCAGAAATTCTCATCTACACTATCTCAAGGTGGTGCTGAAGATTTTGACATTTATTGTGAAATATGTGACAGAGCTGATATCAGGCTTCCTGCCTTTGGTTACTGTGTAGATTGTGAGGAACACTTATGTCAATCCTGTTTCAAAACTCACATACTACCAAAACCACTACGCCATCACCAACTTTTAGATAAAGATCACATGCCACACAAACAAGAACTCCAAAGATCATCAAAATTTACTTCCAGTTCACAGACTGGTAATCTTACAAAGCCTTGTTCTAAACACACCAAAGAAGTGATCAAATTCTACTGTCATGACCATAATGCTCTTTTATGTAGTGTTTGTGTGACCCTTGAACACACACCAACATCCTGTCATGTGGACTACATACCTGATATATCAGGGCAGATTTTAGACAGCACCGAGTTCAAGGAAACTCTGAAAGATACTGATAAATTGACAAACAAATGCTCCCAGATTACAAGTGGCCTGAAACAAAGAGTTGCGAAATCAACAACTTCTCTTAAAGATGCTATAGCAAAAATCGAAAACTATAGAAAAAAGATAAACAAGAGATTAGATGAACTAGAAAAGGAGGTAAAAGATGCTGCTTTTACAATCCAACATGACAACAACAAGAAGTTGAGAACAACAGAAACAACATGTGATGACATTGACAAAGAACTTCAAGCATCAGCTGATACTCTAAAACATCTCAATGCAAACAAGAAAACTGACCAATTGTTTACTGAACTTAAGATAGCTCAACAACTGATTCAAGATAATAACAATATAATATCACAACTACCGACAATCAATGACATAGATGAGTACATCTTTGAACCAAATCAAGCTATCAAGAAAGTCATTCAGGATGAGAAATCATTGGGAACATTGGGCAGTAAGAAGCTAAAGCAGCCAGCTGAACCAAAGAATCAAGGTGCAGTAGCAATGGAATTGTCTACCCATAGACGAATTTATGCTAAAACATCCTCGGGTGAAAAGAATTGTTGGATTTCTGGTATAGCTGTTTCTCCTCAAAATCAATTATTTGCTGCAGATTACTATAATGACTCTTTTAAAATGATAGACATCAATAGTGGAACAATAAAACAACTAAAACTTGGCTCAAAACCCTGGGATATCACCATGGTCACCACAGATTCCCTTGCTGTTACATTACCAGACAGTAAAACAATACAGTTCATTTCCTTCTCCCCAGACTCACTCTCACTGAAGAATAAACTGAAGGTAGATGGAGAGTGTTATGGTATCAGTCATCATCAGGGAAAACTTGCAGTCACATTTGCAAATCCTGGTAAACTCCAAATCATGGACTTGAAAGAAAATACTGAAGTTACAGTTGAAGAAGATTCCAATGGTTACAATATTTTCGGGAAACCTTGGTATGTCACAACAAACAGTCATTCAATCTATATATCCGATGATAGTAATGATGAAGTTCTACGATTTAACTGGCAGGGAGAGATGATAAGAGCAGTAGGAATTAGACGACCAAGGGGTATAACACTATTAGATGATGGGTCTCTCTTAGTGAATGGTTACGCAACTAATTGTATATATAGAGTAAGTGGTGAATGTAAAGACAGTAAAATTATACTGAAGGATGTAGATAGACCTTATGCTGCATGTTGGTGTGCTGAAACTAGTACACTTTGTGTTAGTAGCTTTATGGAGGACAGTGGTGACAATTATATCAAAGTGTATAAAATGATGTAAAAGACATGAAATGATATGACATGTCACTAACTATGGGATAAACACATCAGATCATTATCATTCATTCAATATTTAATTATAGAAATTATTGTAACATGATATAACACATAACTTTAGTCCTGTTGATTTATAGATATACAGATGTGTTATTATTTTCATAATATAAATAAGATGTTTAATATTTATATATACAACATTTATTTTTATTTTTCATTTTTATCACTTAACATAAAGGTGAAGTATAATTCTTCAATGATCAATTTTAGAATTTATGTGATATAAAGGATAATTATTTTTTATTGATGTATTCTTACACAGCAATAGAATTTTACAAAAAATAAAGAAGATGTAATATTGATTGTGATTTTGTGAAAATTTAAGATTAAGTTATTGCACTAAATATATGTGACTAAAGAAGTGACTGAAAAAATGCAGAACATATCAATGTAGATCTAAATTAAGTATTACATATCAAGTTTTGTACATAATCATCATGAAAATGTCAATAAAATAATCTTATAATTGTTATTTTGTATAGCATATTGTTTGTTTATAGTCATCATTTCATGGTACAAACACAAAAAAAATAATGATTAAATTTTCATGAAAAATATTGCCTACTTACTTATTTTTCAATAAAAAAATCCCCAAAAGCACCACATGATGTTCAAAAAGGAGAATTACCTTTCGATGTGAATTTAAATATTGAGTGTATGCAATGGAATATCTTCTTTAAATTACCTATATCCTGTTAAAAGGGGGGTTGGTCAGTCTGTTACTGCTTTTTGTTCTAGTCTGAAGTGCTATAAAAGTGTTGTTTTCATAATGATGATCTTAAACAGTTTTTGGAGTGACTAAATATTAGTTTTTATTTCAAGCCTTATTAACTGTAGCCAATGAACTACCAGAAATTGTACTATGTGATCTCCAAATGTATAGAAGTTGAGTGATTATGCTATAATACATGCACTATATCACACTGAAAAGTGAAAAAATTACAAAACATGCAAATTTATGTGGATATTTTCTCACTTAAATGTGTGACATATAGCATATTAACAATATAAGCTAACACAGTCTCTTAATAGTTTATGTTTTGTATTTGAAATAACAGAAATTTTAAACAGTTTTCATTGAATTGTGGGGAAAAGACCTCATTAAGATGATGACAATAATTCTTACTAGAATCTTGTAATTAGATTGGAAGCCACTGTCAGCTAGCAAATGGCTATGCGAAATCAATTTCTTCTGTGCGCAACCCTTATATTTCAACAAACTTTCACAGACTATTTTCACCAATTGCCCTGACGCATATTTTAAGGGGTTTGTAATTTGATAATAAATGGTGAAATAACGACCCTTTATTTTTAATACACATTTCAATGATGCAAACTCCGCTTTCATTTCTCAAGCGATTTTTACAGCACCAACACAGAGCTATTGGCATTCATTGCTCTAGATCAGAGTGTCGGTGCTTTAGTTATATATTTTTTAGTTTATATTTTTTAAAGAATTTTATTTTCCTTTGTTCTTTCACATATAATGAAAAAAGTTGATTTCAATATTTAAAGCAGCATGCCTCCAGATTCGTGTTAATTTTCATGAACATTTTTAAAATGTTTTTGAAAGTAAAATCTTGTGAGGTGAACAAATAAAGCAATTTACAAATTGAAATCGGCACTTACTATATAAGAAAATTACCAAAAAAGTGGTCAACATATGCAAAAACAGCCATTACTGCGTTCGTAACGCAGTAGAAATATAGTGATTAAATACTGCAAAATCAGTCTTAACCGCGCATAACATGTCAAATTTAACTTGTATTTTTCAATTTTTTTAACTTTCTTAAATTTTTAGTACATTTTTCTCATTATTAATTTCTTGAGATATTTTGGCACGTCTGGATGCGTGCAGCTTTAAACCATCACATGACTATTTTTGAGGCCTCAACTAGGTTACCTCGTACATTTTCCCCGTAATAGGTCAGAAGGGGTCGGGGCATCCCAATCATACCTTACATGTATTGTATATACAAGTCAATCATAATGTACACATGACTATTTTTTAATATCTATTTTCACATTATAAAATGAATCCAATGTACTTCCAGCATTCGTGATGTTCCTCGGTTATAATCTTATCAATTTAGCCTCGTTCTCATGTTACGAATCCAAAAATTCAATATCAAATCCATACTGCACTTCATCTTGACTCGTTTTCTTTTCCGAGTCCAAAATTTCCATATAAAATCCATATTGTACTCAAAGTAACTGTATTTTCATTTCATACAAAAACACTGTATATTTTGATTTTTTCCCTTTTTTAATGTGTTTTAGAATCATTGATGTGAACAAAAAGAAAATTAATTATACACTGTTGAGTACGATACTGCATCTATTGGACTCGTAAATAGCTGCATTCCCTATATTGGATTCGGTAAGCTGCTCCTCGTCCAATGTAGGTTTAACAGTTGTGTACTCGTCTAATAGAGTTCGATCAGTATTGTAAAAAGATGAATAATAATATGTTTCCGTTTGTTTTGACCATGCCGACAATTTCATCTGGTATGAGTGTCAGAATAGTTGCGTGTTATTCAATGGCGTCATTTTAGCGCATTTTTAACCACGTTAGAATTACGTCATTTCGGCGTGTTTAAGAATGAAACTGCATGCTTATGATGACGTTATGTCGCCATTTATGAATAAAGTTATATAGAGGATATTGAATGAGTGTAATTTCAATACTTAATTTATTACTGCATGAGCATTTTGTGAAAAATGGCTGTTTTCATTGATAAGTCTCCCGTTACAAGTTCAATATAAAAACTGCTTCAATACTAATCAAACTTGGCACAAATGTTAACTGGACCATTGCCATTGTAACAACATGCTCAATTTTTTAATTTTCTGTTACCATGGCAACGAGGGGACATCGTAAAATTGCCAAAATCACTATTTTGCGTAGATTTTTTCCATCAAAATTGATTTCAAAGTGCTGCAACTTCTCAATGGAATCAGATAGAGTTAAAGGCTTTTCAGCGTTGGTTGCACGTTACCTTATAATCGAGCTGGGGTCATTTTTAGCCTCTCACAAGTCCAAAATTTTCTTGGCGATGAGGGGGTGGGGGAGGATACCGCCCCCTTCAAACCCCCAAACACACCCCTTCTGGCAACCCTCTGATGCACCTTTTTGATAGGGGGCGGCGCCGAATTGAGAAGCTCCGCGCAAAAATGCGCTCATTACAGATTGTTACAGATACCTTACCAAATCATTCCTACGCACAGGTCATGTTCAATTCAGATGAAGTATTATTGTACATTATTCCGAATGTTTTGTAAATCATTTTTTGCATAGTTATACTTTCGTATGCACTGTCCATTAGAGAGGGGCCACATATCAAATTTTCAAAAAAAGAAAAAAAAAAGAAAAAATGCTTCCACTGATGCCAACATACCTATTAAGGAAAGTTATTCCATTGAATACAAACAATACTTACAATGTTTGTAAATGTAATGTGACATGACAGTACATCTATTATTTACGGAATGCCGTTAGGGCCATTGCCTATTAATGTGTTGATCTGAAACGCGATAGTCGATAGTACGATGGTGAAAACGCGAAATCACGAAACTACGATGGTGAAAACGCGAAAGTACGATGATGAAAACGCGAAAGTACGATGATGAAAACGCGACAGTACGATACGACGATGATGAAAACGCGATAAACTATCGTGTTTTCACCATCGAACTGTCGCGTTTTCACCATCGTAGTTTCGTGATTTCGCGTTTTCATCATCGTACTGTCGTGTTTTCATCATCGTACTATCGCGTTTTCACCATCGTACTTTCGCGTTTTCACCATCGTTCTATCGCGTTTTCATCATCGTACTGTCGTGTTTTCATCATCGTACTATCGCGTTTTCACCATCGTACTGTCGTGTTTTCATCATCGCTCTATCGCGTTTTCATCATCGTACTATCGCGTTTTCATCATCGTACTATCGTGTTTTCACCATCGTAGTTTCGTGATTTCGTGTTTTCACTATCGTACTATCGACTATCGCGTTTCAGATTAACACATTCATAGGCGATGGCCCTAACGGCATTCCGGAATGCCGTTAGGGCCATCGCCTATGAATGGTTTGATCTGAAACGCGATACTCGACAGTACGATGATGAAAACGCGAAATCACGAAACTACAATGGTGAAAACCCGACAGTACGATGGTGAAAACACGATAGTTTATCGCGTTTTCATCATCGTAGTATCGTACTGTCGCGTTTTCATCATCGTACTATCGCGTTTTCATTATCGTACTTTCGCGTTTTCACCATCGTAGTTTCGTGATTTCGCGTTTTCACCATCGTATTATCGACTATCGCGTTTCAGATCAACACATTCATAGGCGATGGCCCTAACGGCATTCCGTAATTATTGCAACAGTGTCACTACTGTAGATGATAAAAATATCAATTAAAGCATGTATATATTCTTTTTCACCTATAATCCTGCTCATTTTCTACAAATATCAACAACTAATCATGGTAAATATAAAAATCCATATATGAATAAGCCAAAACAAAAACTTTCATGGACTTTACTTCTCAAAATGTCCTTTGCTTGTTTCGCGGCAAATGGTATATCATGATATAACAAGAAAAGCATTGATGCAAAGCATCAAAGGGCGTCCAAGCAAGAAATGCAGCAAATGAACTACGGCTCGTGAAAATATGTGGCATTTTATCATGATTCGTGAAAAAATATATTCCATATTTTCACTCAAACGAAAAAATATCCTCTTAATATTATGCAAATGACGTCATGTTAAAATATATGCACGGTCGTGCAATATCA